TTTTATTCTTCTAAAAATTCTAAAATTCTAAAAAGTCTTATTCTTCTAAAAATCTGTTGTAATGAACTAAAAATGGAAACAACTTAATCAACAAATAGCACTAGTTCAATAAATCACAGGACTTCCATAGGGCAGATGGAGCAGCCCTGAATACTTAAAATTTTAGAGATAAAGCAATAAAGTACAATATTAAATGAAAAACAAAACAAAACAAAACAAAAGCAGGATGTAAAACAACTACAAGGATGGTTAAGCATCCAACTCTTAATTTCTGCTCAGGTCATGATCTCAGGGCTGTGAGATTGAGCCCAGCATCGGGCTCAGCACTGAGCATGGAGCCTGCTTAAGATTCTCTCTCTCCCTCCCCCCTCCCTCTACCCCCCCAGGCCCCCTCCCCCAAAGAAAACCAAACAACAACTACAGTATGGCCCTATTTATGTGAAAAAATATTTGAATTAAAAATTTAATAGGGGCGGGCGCCTGGGTGGCTCAGTTGGTTGGGCAACTGCCTTCGGCTCAGGTCATGATCCCGGAGTCCTGGGATCGAGTCTCACATCGGGCTCCCGGCTCAGCAGGGAGCCTGCTTCTCCCTCTGACCCTATCCCCTCTCATGCTGTTTCTCTCTCTCTCTCTCTCAAATACATACATACATACATACATAAATAAAATTGTTAGGGGCGCCTGGGTGGCTCAGTCAGTTAAGCAGCTGCCTTCTGCTCAGGTCATGACCCCAGGGTCCTGGGACTGAGCCCCAAGGCAGGCTCTCTGCTCAGCAGGAAGCCTGCTTCTCCATCTCCCACTCCCCCTGCTTGTGTTCCCTCTCTGTGTCTCTCTCTGTCAAATAAATAAATAAAATCTTAAAAAAAAAAAAAGGAATAACCATCAAGGGGTGTCTGGGTGGCTCAGTCAGTTAAGCATCTGCCTTCGGCTCACATCAGGCCCCCTGCTCGGCAGCGAGTCTGCTTCTCCCTCTGCCCCTCCCCCCTGCTCATGCTCTCTCTCTCATAAATAAAATCTTTTTGAAGGGTTACGATTTTGGTTTTGCCTCGTTTTCCTCTCCTTTAGTTTCCATCAAGTCTACCACATATATGTAAAGTTGAGGGTTTTTTTTTTTTTTTTAAGATTCATTTATTTTTTAGAGCTAGAGAAAGAGAGCACAGCAGGGAGGGGCAGGAGAGGGAGACTGTCTCAAGTGGACTCCGTGCCAAGCCTGGAGCCCGACGTGGGGCTCGATCCCATGACCCTGAGATCACACACGACCTGAGCCAAAACCAAGAGTTGGATGCTCAACTGACTGCGCTACCCAGGTGCCCCTGTAAAGTTTTGTTTTTCTTTTCCCCATACAAGAGAGAAGTTTCTGCTGACCCTGGTCTTGTCCTCATCTATGAATATACTATGAATATCTCCCTCAAGAGGGATGGAAAGAAGGTGGGGACAATGAAAGACAAGAAAAAACACCTCGGGGCAGCAGCAAGCAGCAAATGAATCCCACTTGAAAACCACCCATTAACAGATGGTAAGGGATATTATGCAGCCTTTAAAAATTCTGGCTCTTGGGCGCCTGGGTGGCTCAGTTGGTTAAGCGACTGCCTTCGGCTCAGGTCATGATCCTGGAGTCCAGGGATCGAGTCCCACATCGGGCTCCCTG